CCACTGGCTTATTGCTGCTGTTGCAAGCTGCTATTGCTCTTAGCTTATTTTCACCATTACTAGCACTTGCTTGCAGCAGAAAACCAGTAAAGCAAGCAGGTAGGAGAATCTGCTCCTCCTCCTCACTCTGTGCTAGAGAAAGAGGAGGAATGGCTCTTGTTGGAGGGCCCCTTGGGGGTCCTTGGCAGGAGCCCAGCCATGCCCAGTCCACTTGACCTTGGTCCTGATTGCCTCTAACACAAAAGAGAGCCCCAAACTGGAGGCTAGCATTGCTGGATTTTTGCCTTCATAAGAACACTGGGATGGGAGGAGAGAGGCTGGTTTGAGCAAGTACCACCATTAGGGGCATGGAAACAGCAATGTTGGCTGCTTCTGAGTTGCTGTGGGGAGGATGATGCTTTAGCCTCTGGACCCTCCTAGTGACCCTGAAGGAATGGGAACAGCAAAACAGGTTGTGCACCCCTGCTGTAGATCCAGGTGTGCGCAGAGCTTTGCTGTCAGGTCTCCCATTCCATCCCAGATTTCTTGTTACAGCACTTCTATACACTGTCAGTGAGCCCTTTGCCAGAAAAAGAATGCTGGCAAACTAGGAGCAGCACAGAAAAGGAGGGAGGGAGTGACAAAGCAAAAAAGTGGAGCAGGAGAAGTTGAAAAAAAAAAGGACAGCATAAACTTTAAGATAATACATTGTAGCATTGCATACCTAATGGATACAATACATTGTATGGACAATACAATGGACAATACATTGTAGCAAAGGATACCTAAAGAAGCTGTGTTTAGTGTGGGAAATAAGCAGGGAAGGAAAGGTAGCTGGGGAGACTTTCTTCCCTGCCATTTCACATCAAATCATTTGTTTTTTAAATCTGAAATTGTGGCATTCATCAATCGTATATTAACCACCATCCCAGTTTGGTACCTGGCTTCCAGTGGTCAAATCTTTATCAACATGAGTCATAACCATATATAACATAACCATATATTCTACCAGATAGACTGCCCTGCTTTTTACATGCTGAGGAGGTGACCTTGTTCAGCACACCATGGACTACCTGATGTTCATTTGACCATGATGCCACGATCTTGGTTGCCACCCAATGTGGAGTTCGCGACCCAAATCAAAATTTTCATGAAATTTTTGTTCGTGACCCAATTTGGTTGTGAACCAAGGTGTTTGTGAGCCAAGGCACCACTGTATATACCAAAAAATGTAATGTGCACATGTGAACAGATACGGGCAGTGGTTTAGCGCACAATTTTGTAGCACTCGGCACAACATTTCTCATAGCTACCACTTGAGAGGGAAAATCCAAAATGAAGACAGCTGTGTTGATCCATATCAACAAGTTCTAGCAGTTTTCTCTTCCATCAGGAGCAGGTATACAGTCAAGTGAATGGGCTTTCACTGGTCATTCAGAATTTAGCTGTCTATTGACTGGGTTCAGACAACACAATAACTCAGGGTGATCCAGCTTTGATATAGAACCCAGGGGCCACACAAAAAATTGTATTTCCATATCATAAATTAGTATTCACAATGTATTTACTTCATTTAATATACACAATTAATATATTTAATTAACCACAAATTGAGTGAGAATTAATTTTAGGATGTTAGGACTAACTGACTGGGAAAAAAATGCTTTGTGGGTCTGTGAGCTCTGCAGAGATCACAGGCAGCTCCTTCTCTGACCACAGCCCAGACACAGTGGGGTGGCCCATCCCTTTCTTCCCTAACCCAAAAACCCTCCTGTGTGACCCGTTCTAGCTCCTCCTCCCTTCTTGGAATTGGTGAACAGAACCTCTTGTACTTGAACCAATGAACCCTTCCCAGCATGCCCCATGCTTCATCAGCTGGAGCAGCAGGGGACATGCTGGGGAGAGCACTCCCAAGGCTGCCATCCTTTCCTTCTCTCTTCCTGAGGCTCCCTTTTTACTGGCAGAGAAAACAAGCCAATACATGAAAGCTTGATGTCATTTGTATTGAAGCATTAGATACATTTGAGAAGTATGGCTCTTGTGTTGGCCCCTGTACTACAGGTAAGCCTTCCATGCTGCGTCTCTCCCTCCCTCACTGGCCAACTCTTAGTATTGTATGCAGACTTCCAGAATGTATTTGAGCCAGGTCTTTAGCCCCAGACTCATCCAACCTTTCTGCAGACCTCATGGGGCTGGAGAGGAGTCACTAGAGTCCAATTTTGGGAGTAGCCAGGCAGACATTTTAGATAAATCATCTCACTAAGCACTCAAGGTGTCTTCTATAGCAAGAGTGGACAAAGTATGGCCTCTGGGCTGCGGGATCTCCTGTTCTCTTAAGTGGTTCCGGCTGCACCACCCAATTGCCTCTGCCATGCTGCATGGTGAAGGGAACAAAAGGTAGTATGCTGGCAAAATCCAAAATCCATCAGCACATTACTGAGGAGACTTAAAAAGGACACAAATGATCTGTAGCACATTGAGAACAAACTATTTGTTTTTTTTTGCCCCTGCCACGTTGCTGAATTTTAGTGGTGTCAGGGCAATGGGAATGTGACCCCTGAAGAAGTTGTGCACCCCTGCTTTATAGCCTTCACATGGAAAAGTTAGAAAGATATGTTTGCACAGGTTCTAGCAAGACAAAGTGACATTATGGGAAAGCAAGACTCACTGGAGAAGACAGAAATGCTAAGGAATATCAAAGACAAGAAGAAGGAGGAGGAGGAGGAGGCCAAATATGAGATGGATTGATTTCATAAAAATGTCATGGCATTGCACCTATAAGAGCTGAACAGGGCTGTCATGGGCAAAACATTTTGGACAGCACTCATTCACAACCTGATGGAAGCTGAGCTTCAGGCCCATTTCTTGGGAGCAACTTGTGCACATAACACCCAAGTGACAGGAGATACAATTTTAGAATCCACCTGCTGGTTTTTCATCTGGCCCAGATCCCAAGAAGAAAGCTGCATGAAGGACACTGAACTGGAGTCTACAATTGCTGAGGATCAGGAAGAGAGCAGGTCAGGCTGATGGGCTTGCAAGAGCTCAGCCAGCATGCCCTGCTTGCTCCTCGTGACATGTGCAAAGACTTCTGCTCACCTCCTGCATTTGTCCGCTGGAGTGGTGTAAGTTTTCACTAGCCTACTGGCCTCAGGAAGGTACAGGATGGGATGGTGGCCTCAGGAGAGCTTGCTGGGATCCAGATGGGGCAGCAATGCGGGGGTGGGGAGGCACCAAGCAGCAAGACAACTGCAGAACAAGGTCTCAGGGGCTGCATGTGACCCTCAGACTGCACATTGTCCACCCCACAATAATTCATGCTCAAGGGCTGAGCATAGATTGTAAGTGAACCATGGATTGTTGTTGAAACATGTGTTATTGTGAGTCTGAACACAGCCAAAGTAACATATCAAGATGGACAACCAACAGTTCACAACCCAAAAAACTCCATGGATTTCTCCATCAGTTGTTTCTGGTTGCATGAGCACACTGAATTCTTTCCCCAACACTTGCGAGTCATATGCTGTGTGATGCACCTAATTCCCCTTGTGGCATGTGGGCTGCCATGCTGCCTGAACTGGGCAAAAGCACATGTGGGGGTGGGTGGGGGGGTCTTCCAAACCATCCCAGAATCTTACTGGAACCATGGGCTTTAGGGTAGTTTAGGATTCTAAGGGTGGCATCCAATTTATACCTGCAAACAACGCTTAGGTGGACATGGGAATCTATTTCCAAATAAAGGCACAAAAGGGGGATAAGCATTTTTTCCCCTGTAAAGGGTTACATTCATTTGTGGATAATTTGTTGCGAGTTGCATGTTGGATGTGAGTAGGGCCAAAGTCATGTTGGTGAGCACTTTTCTCTTTTGCCATCATCTTTTTCTCCCATCCTCCTTTCCTATGCAGTGATAAATTTAAACTTCTGCCAAGAGCAACTGCTCGCCCCTCCCCAAAGACTGTATCCAGAGCATGGTTGAAATTAAACCCAGGGCCACCTGCAACCGGAGCCCAGAGAGAGGGCAGAGAGCGCCTACTTTGTTGACTGTGTGCTGCCCTGCCCACGTATTTGCCTTTGATCAGTAACACCCCCGCTGCAGCTCTGAGCTGGGCGAGTTTTAGGAGCTCTGCCAAGCTGCTGTTGTAAATGGACGGCCACACCAGCTCAGGGTCTAACTGGAGTGAGACTGCAGAGTGATTCTAACCACAGGAGGCTAGGCTCAGGGCTCAGTGACTTCCGGCTGCCTTATCTGTCGAAGGTCCCAACCTTCCCAGGCTGACCACTTTCCACGGGTAGAGGTAGGAGGTGGCTCTTAGGGAGGTAGCCCCGAAAATCTGGCTACCTTGTTCCCTGCCACCTTGCTGTCCATGGGCACTCGCTGATGTAGGCAGAACATCTCGTTCCTGAGATTAGGCGACTTTTTGCCCACATACGTTTTCCCTCTTGCTGCCCCTTTGAATTCTTCAGTCTAAGGTTCTGTCTGTCCGTCTGTCTTTCCCGGAATGAAATGTCTCCGCTGTCCTTTCTCTCCTCTGTCCATTCATCCCATTTTACAAATTGGAGACAGGGCTCTTGAAACTAAAGACGCACGCGCGCGCGCGCGCGCAAATTAGGTAAATTAGCAGTCACACATTTGTGCTTTTTCATCTTGGTTCTGTTCTGTGGACCTGAGCCCCAGATCTTTTCTGTGCTAGCGCTGCTCCGACTCTTTCCCGAAAGTCCCCCGCCCCGCATTCTATCTTCCTTCCTTTTCGAAAGGCTCCCGATCTGGAACAATAAGCGTCTTCATGCTGCCTGTGAAAGGGTTTGTTGGGAGAGGCAGGGGGTGGAATTTCCCCAAAAGTTAGCCCTTGTTGAATTTGCTTCGGTCGATCCTCCCCTTCTCCTGACCCGAGAGGAGGGGCCAACTAGGAGGGCTCGTGTTGGAGCCGCCCAAGCCATTCTCGCCCTCCAATCGGAGCGACAGCGCTCGCTGTCCCTGCATCGCGATCCAAACTTTCCGGAACGCCGCTGGGGGGCGAAGGGGGAGTCGCGTCTTGAAGTTCCACCGCGCAAACTTTTCTCGGCAGTGCACCGCTCTCGCTCCGGCAGCGCCCGTAGCAAGAGGGTCGGAGGAACGAAGCTCTCCCAGCATGGGCCTCATCGAAGGGCTGCCCCTGCACACCTACGGCCTGGCTGTCGTCGCTGCCCTGGCGCTCTGGGCAGTGTACGTCTTCTGCGGGAGGAAAAGGTAAGGGGAGAGATCGCTTGCCCGATCGGAGCTGACTTCTTCGGAGGATCGGCAGCTTTCTTGACGAAACAGCACACGCGGGATGCGCGGGAAGAGACTTTTTGCGCTCCCTCTCCCTCTCCCTCTCCCTCTCCCTCTCCCCCATGATGCGTGCTCCGGCGACGAAAATGCTGTACGTTTCAACTAACAAGAAAGAAAGCCACAACAATTTCTTAAAAATCTTCTGAATCCACACAAGGGCAATACATCCTCAGAGTTTCGAAAGAGTGCCCAAGCTTTAGAGTTATCCAGATGGTTTCACCAGTCTAGATCTTAAGCACAGTGGGGAAAATGAAGAGAGCAGTGTTGATGATAAAGCCATGAAGTGTGTATTAAGACACAGTCGTACGACTGGAGATTAGCAGTTTCAGGGTTTAATTCTATGCAGGGAGAAGAAAGCCCTACAGCATCTTGCATCCCAGAGACAGTTGCCTCAATAGACTCTACCTGGTGTTCTAAAGCTAAACAGGGTATCAGAGGAGGTTCCTGGTTATTAGAGCAGGGCAAGTTGACAACATACCTTTAGCAGGCCTCTCTCTAGTCCTCCTTGCTACACACCAACAGTATGAGCATGTGCGCTTGCACATATAGAGATGGTGGACCATAAGGCTGGGTGGTCCCTCTCTCTCATACACACATATCTCAGTGGCTCAATAGGAAGAATCAGATCTTCCTGCAGTGATAATGTTGAAAGGGGATTATTATTATTATTGTTATTAGAACATTTCTATGCCGCCCCTTGTTGATGCCATTATCTCTGCTTAATTATTGGTTTTACTCGTCCTTACCAGCCCTTACCAATGACCATCCAGCAGAAGCGTCTATGTATGTTAAGCGGGCAGCGGTAGCTTCTTATGCAAGCAGCAGCCACCTTATCTTCTCAGTTGCTCACTTCTACTCTTTTCTGGGTACTGCAGTGAGGGGGACTGGGCTTAGCAACCTAGAAACCTTTGCTGCTCTGCCCAGAGATATAGTAAGCGAGAAGAGACGTGGATTTGTTTATATGACACATAAGTGGCAAGTCATGGTGCATTGTCAAGTTTTATGAACATGGACTCTTTTGCACAGACTTGTTTTAGGAACTGTTCTACTCAGGATGGCTTGTTGTATCACCTGATCCTAGAAGTGGCAAGCAAACTTCTTGGCAAGAGGTGCAAAACCCCTTGCGCTTGTGTTAAGCCCACCTATGTTGCACCCACTGAAGTAGCAAGCCATTTTGTGCTGGTTCTTTTTACCCATTTCTTTTTCTCAGTTCCTTCACAGGCAATCTCTGTTTTGACAGCTAGAGACAGCGCCTTCAAAATGCTCAGGCAAACATATTGGAGGGACTGTTGTTGGTTTGCTGCTCTGCTCAAGTTATTATTATTATTTTAGTTGGACTTGTGTAAGTGTGCATTTGTGCAGGTCTGAAATGGTATGCCTCACCTGGTCAGTGTCTTCGGGGTGTCTGCTGCCAAACTGCACAGGCAGCTCTCATGAACATTAACTCAGAGAGGCTGCTAAGAGCTTTATTTTGACTTGGGCTTGTCTTGATAGCTGTCAAAAGGTGAGCGCTCAAGGGAAACCAAAACTGCAAGTGATCTTTGCTTGTAAAAAGGGGCAAACAGACACAGTGAATGAAAAATGGCTTATGATTATATATTCCCCACTTAGTTTATTTACCTTAATACTACCCTATTCCCATAGGCTCTGGGTTATTATAAGAAATTAAACCAACTCTGAGTAATATTAACTAATGCAGCATATTAAATAAAACTGAGATGAAAACTAATCTGGGAAGACCTGTTGGAAGAGATATGTTTTTAACTCCCTCTTAAAGGTGGGAATTTGGGTAATCCAATGCATCTCTCCCTGCAGACCATTCCACAGCTCTGGGGCAACCACTGAAAAATTCCTCTGGCTAGTTGTGGGGAAGGCAGACATGTTGATCTGGGCAACCCATGGGAGGCCTACATAAGAAGAAGGGAAGAGGGGGCACACAATCCATGATGAACCCAATCATCTACTGGGTGCATCAGGGGTTGTTTGCATAACAACCAACCCACTGTGCCTTATTGCCAGGCTGGATTGTCATGGTGTGTGATTGTGCCCAGTGACTTCTTTTCAGCAGGACGGACTGTGTAAACAAAGGTTACCCCCAGGTCTCACCAATTGCTCCCTTGACCTATTTCTTCGCAAGGCTGTACCTGCTGGCTGTCCTACTTTGAAGAAGACTGGTCCTGTAGGGGAAGAAGCACGGGGTCTGCAGAGGTGGTCTCGTCTGGTCCTCCACTCCCTTCCCCTGGGCATTATGGCAGGGAAATTTAGGCCTGTTACATCCCTGCTGCCCAGAAGGTGAGCAGATGCTGCCTCTGCCTTCCCCTCTGGGTTATAGGGCTCTGTGTTGCTCCATTCAGAGATTTACAAGATGAAGGAGTGGGTGGAATTAATGGTGTATGGTCTCTATCCAGAGAACACCCAGAGTGAGGCTGAGCAGGAGATGTGCTGCACTTGCTTTTGCTAGCTCGGATGTTCTCTGGGCATCCTCTGCTTCTCTTTTACACTTGCTTACTACTGCTGATCCTCTGGACCATTTGCCAAACCCCATTTTCACCTGTAAACCTTCCAGAGGGGGAAGGGACACAAGCAATTGGAGGCCCTGATGAAGGAATCAGAGAAAGAGATGGTGTTCCCAGAGAAAAATGAGGAGGAACCTGTGCCTGACACACCAGAATTCTTCTCAGCTAGGAGGTCTAAACCCCAATAAAGCACTTCACAAATATATTGTCAACTATGAATAACAAGAATGAATATGTATGTGCATAACAGAATCCCAGTAAAAATTTCTTTCAGCAAATTGCATTTATCAAATCAACTGGGGATCCTGGAGTGGGTGGGTACATGGGAATCTTTTCTAGACCACTTTAAATTAGTTGGTGCAGGGCTGCACCTTTCTACTTTTTTAATGGAAAAAGTAAAATGTTATTTTCTTTAGTAGAAAAAGCGAATCTAAACCACAAGTACAAAATTAGGTTTTGCAAACCCTAGATGCAAGTCCTTCACAATGCCTTGAGCTCAGATATGCTATCTGCTGAATTCTTCTGCTTGCCATTCATTGGATTCCTAGCCCTGCCATGGATGACTTGAGATATAGCAATTGCAGAAAAAAATCAAAGGAAAAATACAGTTCATAAGCAGGGCTTTTTTGAGAATCTAGGAGTCATAAACCGCACAAGAGATCAGTCAACCAAAATGTAGTTTCATGGTGCTGAGAGCTGAAATAATAAGTGACTCTAGTGGTGAGTAACCTTAAAGGAAGGTTTATCACTTGTAGCTTCCAGAGCTGCACTCAAGCACCAAGCTGATATCAGAGGCTTCTGGATAAAGTCTTCCATTGGAGGAGGGCCTTACTCTTGACAAGTTTTTAACTCGCAAGGAGGCTTCCTTTCCAAATAGACACTCCTGAATATTAAGTCCACAGTCACCTGTTGAAGGCCTTCTGCTCTGTAGTAAGAGGAACTATTTCAAATTTGAGTAATTGTAGCCATTGCCAAGTTTGCCCCATACATATAAATTTGCACGTGCATATTTTATGCAAATTGGCACCCTCTTTTTCAGTAACACATTCCTCTTTTTTTGGTGATTCTTTAGTAGCAATTTTATATATCTATCATGTCTATCTCCATATCTTTCTTCATTTTACTCTGTTGCTTACAGTAACCCAATGGGGGGGAAAGTTCTTCAGAGTCCTTCCTGATCAGACAGTAAGGTTGGAGAAGATTCTTGGCAGCCTTTTGTGAGATGTGAGATCTGAAGGAGCTATGACTCTTCTTGTGTCCTGACCAGTGCCAGACTGCTGACTGGTTTCAATTTGGTCACCTGTCTTCCAAGCCAAACATGATTGGACTTATGTTCCGACCAGGCTGTGAGTACATTGAGTACAATGCCAGTGTTACCTCTGCTCTTATACTTGCTGTTGGCCTGGAGCACAGAGGAACTGCCAGTGCTAGTTGTCAATCTTTCCTTTGAGCTCAGCACTAGTCACGGAACCAGACAGAGCCTGTGCTGCCATCCCACAAAGACCCTTTGCCTCCCAGCTGCAGTTTGTGGCCCAGAGTGAAAATTCATGTCAGGCCTGGTCTTGAGGAAACAAGTTGCAGCAACTTCTGTGCTGGTACCAGTTGAAAAGTCATTTCTTGCCTGCCCATCGTGAGCTGCCGAACTGCTAAGGAGTAACTCCAGGACTCAGTAACTAACTTCAGAAAATGAAGGGTGGCTGGAAGTCTTGGGGAAAGTCAGAAGTAGCTGCAAGCAATGATTAGTTTATCTCTTCTTAAGTATAAATATTTTATTCTGTATGTTTTAGTGAGTGTGGCTTGGAAATGGAAGTTTCCTTGTGAGAGGAAGGAGGATTCATCCTAAGCAGCAGAGGCAATCCACAAATGAATATATCCCTGGAGTTGGAAGCTGGTGTAGACTCTGCAGTCACAGAGTTCTGGAACTGGGTCAGTGGGATCAGCCCATGACATTTGCTGGTGGAAATAAAGCACAAGATGCTCCCCCCTCCCGCCCAATTCCACTTAGAGAAACTGACTCGACTGGCAGTTGAATCCTTTGTCTTATCCAATGAATGCAGTGTAGTTTAGCTGGTGCAAGACAAGCAGGATGGCACAAACATGTGTTCTTCAACAAAGAGGAGCAGCAGAAGGATTGCTGCCTTCTCCACATTAGTTATTGTATGCTGTCTGAAGCAATGCTTGTCTCTGCCTAAGAGTAGGCCGGTACCTCTGTGTTGCCACAGACTAATTCTGGGGTTATACAAACAGCATGGGAACAATTACAATGCTGCTTCTTTCTGAAGCCTGTGACACCAGTAGACTATGTGGGAACAATCCACACCATGGCTTCTTTGCATACAAGCATTGTCCCACCTGAAATTGAAAGTGCAGTTGAAATGGGAAGGAGCTGAATAATAGATTCTG